AATATTATTGAAGAGCAAATTGCGTTTATATCATAATACTTAATATAAGTCAATTTTATTTATTTTAAAATGTGTTTTTATATCCAACTCCACTTTACTTGGTTTTCAAATCCATTTCATTTGATTTTTAAATCCTCCTCACTTGATTCATAAATCTATTACATTTGATTCTCAAATCTAATTTATTAATTTTGAAATCTATATAGAATTCCAAATACTCATAGATTTCCAAATCTATTAAATTTCATGAACCAATAAAACCCCCTAAATCAACATAATCAATTTTGAATCACTTTTAGCTAATTGTAACCAATAAATTTATATTGGGTTAAACATTATATTTACCTGGATATCTTTCTTCTCTAGACTCTTGTGAAGTTCTTCGATGGAGTGGATACCACTGGTATCGATATCGATGACCGCTGCTCACATATATATAAACCATTAGTAAGTTTATATCTTTGAAGCATGTAATTAATTATACTCCAACAATATAAGTTTATAAATGACATCTAAGATAATAACTAAAAAAATGGTTAAAGAAGAATATAATTCTTACGAGACATCTCAATAATCACAAACTTGATCGCCGGCATGCCCGCTTCTTTAGCATCTTCTTCCTCTTCTCGCAACCATCTTAATGACCTGTCACAAAATAAATTGTTCCATGACTTCACACGCACGTAATATTTAATTTTACGAATCCAAGTTGATTGATAGATAGTTAGATCAGTTTCGAGTCCTATATATTTTTTGTGGTGTATTAATGATGTATCATAAAATGGTTTCAATAATTAGTCCAAATAATAATTTTTCATAATGAAGGATTTGTAGGATATACAGTATTTACCTTTCTCGGATGTAGTTGGAGTTGGAAAAGTAGATGGCGGAGTCAACACGGATGATCAAGATTCCGGGAATTTTGGTAGCCTCTGGATACTGATAAATGTTCCGGTACACATCAGTCCCCGGAAGCTTCCCTAGAATAGTGGTTCTTGGTCTTGTCACTTGTAACAGTATCTTAGCAAACGATATCGCCACCTATATAAAGAGTTTCACGTACCAACAACCAAAAATAAATAATCTCATTAATTATATAGATAGATGACAGTCTATTATTGATTTCACTCATATCTTACGGCGATCAAGAGACCGATCTCAACGGAGATGAAGACGACTCCAAAGAAAGCTCCCATGCAAGCCAAGAAATCGAGTTTATCAATCTTCCAAATGAGAACGGCTGCATCAATGTCGATAAGACCGAGGACCGCAGATATAATAATGGCCGCAAGGATGGCGTTTGGGGTGTATTTGAAGAGCGGTGTGATGAACAATAATGTCATAGCTACAACTATGGACATCACTATGTTTGAAACAGCGGTCTGGCACCCCGCCATGTAGTTCACCGCAGATCGCGAAAATGAACCTGAATGTAGTTTTTAAAAAATATATGATGTTAGGAGTCATAACATTCATTTGTTTTTGAATTAAAAACCCATAAAATTTAATAATATAAGATATTTTCCCTAAAAAACTCTAAAGTTAAAAGAGCTCTTTTAAGTCGTTAAGAAAACAAAAAAGAAAAAATTGTCAGCATACCGGTGGCAATGTAACAGGAAGTTAGTGAACCGACGACGTTCATAGTCCCCAATGCGATCATCTCTTTGTTGCCATCGATCTGATAGTCCTTCATTGCGGCAAATGTTCTTGCAATTGCTACGGCTTCCTGGAAAAGAAAAATAAGTTATCAAATGAAATTTAGTGTATAAGAATGGGAAACATTAATGATTCCTCACTTATTTACATGTGTGACTTACCGTTAGGGCGACCATGCCAGCAATACCTCCAATGCGGATTCCTTCCGTCAAATATTTTCCGGAGAAGAAAATCTTACTAGCAGAAATTGGATTGATTCCTTGATCGATGTGCTTCACCTACATAGTTTATATAATAATATATTTTTGTTTAACCAAAAAAAAATCTATCAAATATTATTCATCAATGATACAAACGTATGATTTATATGTGAGCGAGCTTAGCTTACAATTTGGACTCCTTGTTTGTCTGCCCGAGTTATGAAGACAAAGAAGGTAGAGATAATGACGGATATAAGAGGAGCAATTGCCGGAACCCAGAAGAGTTTCCTGTTCTTTTTCCCCTGTAATCAAAATTTCGTATTAGAAATGAAGATAACAAACATGCATGCACGCATATATAGATACAATGGAGACAAAAAGAAAAATTTACAATGAATTTGGCGACGAGAATGAATGTCAAGAAACTGGCGCCAATGACTATAGTCTGCCAATTCCACTGGAAAAATCATGAAGACACAAAACCGAATAAGACATTATTGAGGCAAATGATAACAAAAAGTGAAGAAAAAAAATAGTATTGAAAGGTATACCCCGTGACGAGCCGCCTTGAATACAGATTCCATGACAGAAACAATATCAGTTTTCTTGGTGAAGTCTTTGATGCCAAGAAAGCCCTTAAGCTGTTGGAGAGAAATTGTGATGGCTGCTCCTCCCATGAACCCAACCACCGCGGCATGAGACAGAAAGTCTATCAAGAATCCCAACCGGAGAAAACCGAGTGCGACTTGGAAAATGCCGGAAAAGAAAGTAGCGGTGAAGGCAAGGCGGAGATAATCCTCTGGCTCGTCAACAGGATCGATCACGGCCCGGCACAAAGTTCCCAAAAGAAGAGACACCACAGCCACTGGTCCTATCGCAATATCTCTAGAACTCCCCATACCTGCGTACACCAATGGTGGCGCGAAACTCGAGTCTGCCCACAAAAACCATGCATTCACTTTTTAGTACGAAAGAGGAAGATAAATTATCTACGTATCCAAGGCTGGTTCATGGCCTAGGGATCATAACTTTCCCCTTAACCCAAAAAAAGAAAAGAAATTATATACTCACAAAGTCCGTATTTTGGATCCAAATTCGCGAGCTTTGCATATCCGATATCCTGTCATCCATGAACCATAAATGAGATATAAGTAGGGGTAGGATATAAAAAGAAGAAATGAACAACAAAAAGTACGTTAAAATGTCTTATTATTTGTGAACCTGAGGGATGCAAAGACTAGCAATGGTGAGACCAGAAATGACATCGCCTCTAAGTTTACGAAGATTGTACTCTCTGGCCCAGCCAACGATCGGGAAAACAGCCTGGATCCCGAGCAACACCTTCTGAGATGCGGTTTGGTCCTTGAAATCCCTAAGAGGTGCATCGTGGAAGAACATTTCTTGACCCCATGATTTGAAATCCTTTACTAAACCCTCCTTCGGGGGAAGTGCAACTCTGTGACGAACGGACCCTCCTCCGTCCGGGGGATTAGCATTAGCCATGATCGTTGGATATTAGTTGCCTGAAATATAAATATTATTTAGCGATGAAGAAAATCACCAACTTCGTAATCTGATAATAACGTTTAGCTAGCATTATTAACCTTAGACGAAGGATAGAGGAACTGTAGATTTGGTTGAGGGTTTGGAGTGTTACTACGTTGTTTATATAAGTTGTGAAATATCTGGATGTCAACTCTCAAGATTACAGCTTGGTTTTTATTTTAATTGTAAGAAGAAACATGCTACATTTTGATAAATTCAGCGAAAGCCAACATATTTTTATTAATAAAGAAAAATATGGTTAGAGTATTTAACAGTATTTGAGGGGTATATAAATTAATATGATTTTGGGAGAGATTAAAGAGCAAAAGGTTGACTTTGGCAATATATGATATTTGTTTTTTTTTTTATCAACAAGATAATAAACTACTCTACCAAAAGTATTTAATCATTAAATCAAAATACTATTTCAAAACATTTACTCAAAAGAATACAAAATCATGTGGAGGTAAAATTTATCTGAGATTTTAACATAGTTTAGGTGTGATCGTTTGTCATAAATTCATATATTAAAAGTTTGATATAAATGTGATGTAAGTAGAACCGTTTATCATGAATCTTTGTGGTGCGGATTAAATTGTTAGTACAGTTATATATGGAAAAGTCGTGTTTTTAAATGCTATAGGGAATTTGCTTTATTATCTTGATTGAAATTACCATTTGTACTAGGATAACCGATTAAAATTGGAAGATTTGTTCGGATGCCCTAGGTTGAACTCAATTCAGTTGTACCCTCATTTTAATTAATCATTTTGTTTTTTTTATATTCTTAAATGAAAATCATGGTAAAAGACAGAGATGGCTTTGAGAACAAAACATATTTACGCGATCCAACCAGCATCTAACCGGGTCACGAATATCATCTGATATCTATCGGGTCAATCCGCCCAAAATCAAAAGAAAGCGGATCCGATCGAAATCTAATTCGTTTCTCACATTTAGGTTTTTTTGATTTTTCGATACACTCTTTGCCTCCTCTTTGGGTTGAAACCGTACGAATCGAATCATCGAAAACCTGGGGTTTGTTTGTTCCGATATTGTTTACGAAATGGTTCGGAAAAAGAGTATGGCTAAACGTAAAAGAGTATGGTTACGAAATCGATATTTGATCGAGAAGAAGAGAGGAACCGAGAAGAAGAGAGCAATAGAGAAGAAGAGAGGAACCAAGAAAAGAGCAATCGAGAAGACATTCGTGATTCACCGAACCTTCTTAAATCACAAGCAATGGTAAGTAGCTTCTGGATCCATTTGTCGTCACATGCAATGTGCATGTGCAATTAAATAGGGTTGGATTTTGTTCTGGATTGACAGTGGAAAAGTAGGAATTCAGCACATGGGAGAATTGCAGGAAAAGTATGCAAGTAGTTTAAAAAAATGTGTTTTGGATTGCATGAATCAGAGGAGAATTCAGAAGAGAAAATCATTCCAATGA